TCGCTCAGTCCTGTCCGACTCTTTTGTGACCCCGTGGACTGTAGCCCACCAGTCCATGTCTCTGTCCATGGGTTTCCCAGGCAAGAATACTGGAGTGGGTTGTCATGCCCTCCTCCAGGGGATCTTCCCAACCCAGGGATCAAACCCACATCTCCTGCATTGGCAGACAGATTCTTTACCACTAGTGCCATCTGGGAAGCCCAGGGATTGCATTCAATCTGTTAATCCATTTGGAGAGTATTGGCATCTTATCAATATTGAGTCTTCCCCCACAAACTCTGGGAGACAGTGAAGGACAGGGAAGGCTGGCGTACTGCAGTTCATGAGGTCGGAAAGAGTCAGACACGACTTTGTGACTGAACAACCACCCTCATGAACACTAAATGTCTCCCTGCTTATCTAGACCTCTTTAATCTCTCTCAGAAATGCTATGAGATTTACGTGTACAAGTCTTGCCTCCTTTTGTTAAACTTACTCCTATCCATTTCACTTTTGTTCAATGCTATTGTAAATGAAATTGTTTTCTCAATTTCCTCTTTGGCTTGTTCATTGCTAACCCATGGAAATGTGGTTGGATTCTGTATGTTGATTTTGGGGGCTGGAACCTTGCTGAACTCACTCATTAGCAGCTTTCTTCCTCTATGACCGATTGCCATTTGGCCCCAAATGCGTCACAAATGCAGAAATGGATGGTTTCTGGTGGAGGAAAAAGGAACCTTCAGGTAAGTGGAAAGTACCAGGAAAATAATGGAGAGGAAGACATTTAGGGAAATGACACTAGAAGCTTTGAAGTCTTTAACTCCAGCTCTTGCCACTAGCCCGAGTGTGCGTGGAGCTGACCCTAATTAACATACGAAATGACTGGAAAACTGATCTGACCAGCAGACCTCCACCCAGGTCTCAGACTAAGCACGAGGCATGCACACGGGGACAAACCTGAGTAGAACAGCAAACACTGGATATCACTGAACGCCTGAAGCAGAGCCCGTGGGAGACCAGCATTCTCCATGGGCTGGGGGAGACCCGTAATACTCGGATGTCAAGGATAGAAGCTGAAGTCGCCTGGTGCCAACAGAATGTAAAATCTCAACCCACAGAAGAAAAGACAACAGACACAAACAGTGGGATGCCACAGATAATTTGAACTATCTGACTGGGACTCTAAACCAGCTTTGAACCAGAAACTACAAACAGCCTTGACAAAATATTAACAGAATGACTCAGCAAAGAAATAGAAAGATACAAAGAAGCAAACTGAAATTTTGGAACTGAAAAACTCAATAAATGAGGCAAAACAAAACTTACTGGGTGGTTTCGCTAACAGAATGGAGATGACAGAGGAAAGAATCATTGAACTTGACAGATCAGTAGAAATTGGTCTAAGACCATTTGTCTTAGACATGAAATGTCTAAGAAATAGTCAGAGATGTTAAAGAATGAACAGTCTCAGGGACCCATGGGGTCGTGACAGAGGGGCTGGATTTGTGCTGCTGAAAGTCCCTGAAGAAAGGAGAAAGACTGTGGGCTGAAAAAAATATTTTGAGGAAATAATAACAGAAAACTAAAGAAGAAATGGGTTTCCCTGGTGGCTCAGGGGTAAAGAATCTACCTGCCAATGCAGAAGACTCATGTTGGATCCCTGGGTCGGGAAGACCCCTGGAAGAAGGAAATGGCCACCCACTCCAGTATTCTTGCCCAGAGAATTCCATCGACAGAGGGCTGCAGTCCATGAGGTCACAAAGAGTTGGGCATGACTGGGCGACTAAATAACAACAACAAGGAAGAAATACTGACAATACCAAGTGTTGACGAGGGTGTGAGGCCACTGGAACACTTGGACGCTGATGCTGGGAAGGCAGAGTCACATGGCCACTCTGGGAGGTGCTTTCTCAGTTTCGTATGCAGGTAACTGTATACTTACTGCCAGATACAGCAATCCTGCCCAGACATTTATCCCAGAGCAATGGAAATGTGTGTTCACATGGAAACCTGTACACGAATATGGCCAGAGGCTTTATTTGTAACAGCTGAAAACAACCCAGACATCTTTCAATGGGTGAACTGTGCTGATCTACACCATGGAATACGACTGCATCATAAAAGAAACAAACTTGACTCACAAAACCTCCCAGATGAATCTCAAAGGTGTTACAGAGTAAGAGAGACCAGTCCCAGCTGTCTTCTGCCTGATTCCATCCGCGGAGAACATCATCCCATCATGGAGAACGTCAGCGGTTGCCAGGGGTTACGGTGGAGAGAAGTGTGCCCCAAAGTTATGGCAGGGGAAATTTGGGGGTGATGTAACTGTGTGTATCCTGTGACAGTGACAGCTATCCAAATGTGTTAAAATTAAGAAAACTGTACACCAAAATCAAAAAAGTCAATTTTTAATGGGGGAGGGAGGATAAATAACATTTCGCCCTACACCTGAAGCTAACACAACATTGTAAATGAACTACACTCCAATATAAAATAAAAATTGAATCAAAACGTCAATTTTACCATTTAATAATTAAAGTGAGACACACAAGATATTTTAAAATCATGTTTCAGGCAGTGTTTACACGCGCCAGGGCTTTCTCCTTCGCACGCGTTCTCCCGCGGGCGAGGGCACCGCGGCGCGCTCGGGCCTCGGGACGCACAGCCTAGCGCGCGCCCGGGAGCCGATCGCATGTTCTGCGGCCCCTCCCGGGAGGGTCAGAGGCGTGGCAGACACTGGCAGCCCACGGCGAGGGAGGCGCCCTCACACAAGCTCCGCTCAGGCGGTGCGGGGCGGCGGGAGACGGGGGGCCCTGGAGCCCAGCCCCGGCTCGCTGCAGAGGCGACGCGAGACTCCGCAGACCCTCCTGAGCCCCCCATCCCCCTCCCCGCCCTGCTCCCGGAGGCCTCGAGGCTCGCTTCCCGCAGCAGCCGCGGCCCTTTCCCCTCGCCTTCCAGGGCCGGCCAAGCCCCAGCCTCGTCCCGAAGGCCCGCCCCGCAGCTGCCCCCCTCCCCACCTGCTCCCCGGCAGGCCGCTGGCGCCCCCGCCCCCCCACGCCGGGGGATCCCGACCCTCCGCTGAGGGACCCGGCGGAAACCAGAACTTGAGGTTGGGCGGATCAGTGGCGACCGGCTCTGCCCCCCACCCCTGGTCCGCCCCGCGGCTGAGCCCCAGACGCTTCTGGGGCTCGAGGGCTGGGAGCGCCGCGGGCGCCCGCGCCGTCGGAGCTGCAGGGGCCGCCCGCCCAAGGCGCCAGGTGCCACTTCCCGTTGGAGAGGCAGGTGCACCCACCCGGCGAGCTGCGTCACCCCAGCGCCTCTTTCCCCACGGCTGGGCACACGCCCTCGCCAGGGGTCACGGCTGCGCACACGCCCCAGGGCCAGACGAGCCCCCAGTGTCCCTGCCCCGCGGCAGTCATCCAGTCCCTGGCGTCTCCCAGGTCCCACCTCCCCTCTACCCGCGTTCTTGCGCGGAGGGTCCTCGCACCTCCAGTCCACCGCGCGCCGCCAGCCCCTTCCTGCACACCCCGCGCCCAGACGAGGCATCCTCCGGCCCGGGGGTCCAGCCTGGAGCCTGCTCCCCAGGGGGGCCAGTGTTCACACCCGCCCCACCACCCTCATGTCCTGTGCCAAGGTTATGTCAGTGGCACCCAGCGAAACGTGGAAAAATATGTTTAAACGTGCCAATGAAGAGTTTTAGAAAAAAAAGCGTCAGTCGTCTCAAAGTAATAAACAGCCATTTTAAAAGAATTAATCAGAATCTTACTGGAAGCTGTGCTCATGATGGTTCTTCAGGAACGACTGCCCTTCGCGTTCTGACCAGAAGAGGGGGAAGGGGGCGCCTGTTGCTGGGGGCTGGCGGGTGGGTGCACACCTGCCCGAGAGGTGCCCCCGAACCGTGGGCACTGCTGTCAGGAAGCCCCGCTGCCAGGACCCAGCGCCCAGCCCTGCCTGCCCAGCTGCCTCCCCTTCCTCTGGCGACTCCACTGAACACCCAAACCCTGGCCTCGGCTTGACCTCCGGGGACCAGAGAGCAGGCAAGGACAAGCTGCTCCACACTCCTCGCTGCAGAACCCAGCTCACGACAGCAGCCCACTCCCTCTACACAAGTACCGTTCCTGCAAACCAGGACCCCCCTCGAACCACCAAGCACGTTGAATCCTAGCAACTTCGAGGTATTGCCCGTTTCTTTGGTCATACTGGGGACCACCCTGCTCTAAATGGCACCCTCCCACACACACTTCCTGTTTGCTTTCTTGGCCTCCATCTTCTCACACTGGGCACTCATATAACTGATAGGTTCAGCTGTGTGTGAGCTGTCTCCCCCGTGCAGAGGTCAGCTCCAGGTAGGTGACTGATAGCTCTGTTTGCCCTGGGTTTAGGGCTGAGAATCCCTGACCAGCTCAGGGCAGACCAGACGTGGCCCCCAGCCCCAGGGCCGGTGCTGTGTGCTTCCAGTGCTGGGGCAGGGCGGCGCCCAGCAGGTGCTCAGGCACTGCTGGAGGAACGAGGGGTTGAACAGGTGAGGCACACAGACCCGGTTTACCTGTGAGCTCTGGCGGGGGGAGGAGGGAACCCGTCATCCCTCGCCCTGGGGCCTGAGCGCATCATACTCTCCTGCAGAGGTTGGCCAGGCTGGGGAGGGGAGGTCCTGCTTCAGCAGGAAGGGCCTCTCACTGGCCGCGGCAGCAGGCCTGTCGGGCTCCGGGGGCGTGAGGAGAGCCCAGCTCAGAGCCCTGCGCTGAGTGCCACCACCATGCGGGGGCAGCACATACTGGACAGCAGGGCAGCTGGGACCCTGGGGCACCCCTCCCCACCTCAGCCCTGTGGCCAGGCAGGTCCTTAGTCCTGGAGAGGAGGGAAGTCATTCCCCTTGTCTGCGCTTCTGGTTCCCCTACCTGGGATGGCCAGGGCTGCTGCGAAGTCGTGGGGGACCCTGCATCTGGTCAGTTCCCAGCACCCGCCGCCCCCAGCCCCGCCAGCCAACCCACCCCTCCCACCTCCTCCAGGAGGTCAAGGATTCCTTCCGAGGGAGGCCCTGGGTCAAGGCCGCAGTCTCTGCACAGGCAGGGACCCCGAGGTGGGCCAGGCATGCGAAGCCGGAACTTGTGGTGTGGGGACCTTGGTCCCCACCTCCCTCTGTGCCTTGATGGAGAGGGGGCACTTGGGGTGGACAGGGGTCGCCAGAGGACAGCAGGAGCACTTGCGTGAGCCCAGAGCACAGCCCACCGGCCTGCCAGGGGCCAGGCCTGGCCAAGGTGAGGGGGTTCGGCTGCAGTCACACTCTCCACCCCACTTCAGGGGGCACACGCGGCCCCGTGGTCCCCCAGTCCCCACGAGGGCTCCCTGGCCCTGCCGACCCCTTCCCTGTCCTCAAGGGAAGCAGCGAGCCAGGCAAAGAAGTTTCTGAGCGAGGGGGTACATGGGCTCTGCCGACCCCTCTTGGTCGGCTGGGGGCAGCAGCTCGCACTAAGGGAGTGATGACGAGACGTCCAGCGGCCTGCGTCCAGCTAATGAGGCACAGCCCAGGCCGGGCCTGGAGGTAAGTGCGCATGCGGAGCCGCAGCCCAGCATAGACCCGGGGCCTGGAGGTAGGTGCGCATGCGCAGACACAGCCCTGCTTACGCCCAAGGGTGGGGCCTGGCCCCCCCGGTCAGGTGAAGGTGACTCCAGACAGCAGCCTGGCGGGGCGGCCCGGTGGTCCTTATGAGCTGGCAGGAGGGTCCTGTGAGGGCAGGCCCAGCCGGCTGACTGCTGGGCGACCCCTGGTCTGGGACACAGAAACGTCGCTGCAGGGCCAAGGAGCCCTGTGGCTCTGAGCAATGATGGCGCGTGATGACCTCAGGGATGCGACATGTCTGAGAATGGCTCGTCTGGGCAGGTGGCCCCTGAGGCCAGCGGAGTGGCCGACTCTCACCGCACTGTCCTGGCTGGGGGCCTGGGGAGTGGAAGGTGGTCCGAGCTCTGGGGGCGTGGGTGCAGGGTGGGTGCTTGGGTGGTGGGCGTCAGGTTCTTAGCAGTCTTTGAAGGGTGGGGGCTGGTGAAGGCCTATTCTGGGCCCCAGGGGGCACCCAGGGTGTGGACCCCAGCCCGTGTATGGGTGTCCTGGCCCCCCAGACCTGGTCAGCTCCAGGAAGGGTGGGGTCACACCCTGCACTCCAGAGAACCTCGTGTTCAGGGTCAGGGATGCTGGCCCTGACCCCAGGTGGTCCAGAGGGAGCCTGCACCAGGCTGAGACGGGTGCGTCAGGGGCTAGGCCATCTGGGGAAGGGGCTACCCATGGAGCTGTTCTGTTGGCCCCACTCAGGATTCAGGAGGGGCTGGAGGGCCTTCCTCTGACCCAAAGTCCCAGAACGGCCCAAGGGCCCGAGGAGCTGCAGACCTTTGGAGACCCGAGAGGTACACAGGCCCTGGTCTGGGGCCACTGCATGCCCTGAGGCCTAGCCTTCGCAACAGAGGCCTGGACTGTCCAGATGTGAGCTGGCCCCTTGCCGCATGCCTGCAGTCGGGCCTGGCGCCCACGTCTTCTTGGTGAGACACTTGGCCTCAGGCTGCTGTCCCCTGGGTGGCAGCTGGGGAGAAAGGAACGGGGGGGCTGGCTCAGGCAGCCTTGTGTGGGGCATAGACCCCCCTCCCCCAACCATCTGGTGGCTCAGACAGTAAAGCGTCCGTCTGCAATGCAGGAGACCTGGGTTCGATCCCTGGGTCAGGAAGATCCCCTGGAGAAGAGAATGACAGCCCACTCCAGTATCCTGGCCTGGAGAATCCCGCGGACAGGGTAGCCTGGCAGGCTGCAGTCCATGGGGTTGCCAAGAGTCAGACACAACTGAGCAACTAACACTTTCACTTTTCACACCCCCCCAGCCCACCTCCGACTATGAGGTGGAAAGAAGGAGAGGGAGATGAGACGCCACCCTCTCAGGACCCCCTGCCCAGTCCTGCCAAGCCTGTGCCCGGGCAGCAGGCAAACGTCCGTCTTCGGGGGACTCCACCCTGACCCCAGGAGCAGTATCCCCCCAGGTGCCCCGGCTCCAGCTGGGCCCAGGTGCTCTCACTGTTCACAGGACTTGCCCAGTGTGGCACGGGGCTCCAGTCATGGCCCCAGGCTACCCACCACGCCATGTCACTGGCAAATATTGGAGCCCGGTCCAGACACGAGGCTCTTAGGGGTGACCATCTCCCCTTTGACCTGTGATCTGCTGGGGCAGGGAGGTGAGGGTGTGGTGGGGTGGGGTGAGGGGAGAAGCAGACGTGGGACCGGGGCGCCCTGGCACTGCTGAGACTCAGCTGTGCTTAGAGGCCATTCGAGACTTGCCTAGCTGCCCATCAGTGGATGGGGTGGTGAGAGCCCTGGATATGCCCAGACACCCCTCTTTCTGTCTGCTTTTCAACACTGGAAAAGGTTTTCACTTGAAGGTGAGTGTGCCTGCTCCTCACTCCCACTGCCCGTGTCACTCACCGCCCCCCTATCTCCAGCCCCAGGCAGGAGTCACCCTCTGGGCCACACCCAGGCCCCGTAGGCTTAGGGTTCCCTCTGCATCCTGCCAAGTCTGAGGTTCCAGGAATCTGGGACTCCTGGATGGGCGAAGGGTGGGCCACGAACTTCCAGTTCCTGGGCAGTTGGAACCAGAGCCCAGGTTGGTGGACACTCAGGGAGGAGGACGCAGCACCCATGACCCGGCGTGAGGCCCTGGAGGGTCCTTGATCATCCAAGTCAAGGCTCAGAAGCCTGGCCTGACGCTGAGGCAGTGGCCCCTCTGTCCTCCACCTCCTGTGCAGTGTGTCCCCCCCTCATCCTGACAGTGGGAGATGGGGCTGCCAGGGGCCAGTCTGGGTCCGGCCCTTGACCCCTGGTAGCCCCGGAGCCCTGTCCTCCCAGCCCCAGCCCCCGCCCCCGCTGAGGCCTGGCCTGAGCGCTCACCGCACTGGAGGTTGCAGAGCTGCTGGGGAGCCGAGAACTGGACATCGGTCCTCCTGCCCTGCAGGTGGGGGCAGGGCAGAGAGAGCAGGTCAGCACAGCCTGCAGCCCGCCCTGCATGGCCGCTCGTTCCCTAGAAGCACCACCTGGAGAGGCTGTGGGGCTGAAGGGACCCCCCAGAGCAGCTCAGGGCCCTGGGCAGCTCCTGGGAGGTGGGTGGAGGCTGGGCAGGGAGGTACACCTACCTGGATGCAGGTGCTGGGTGCGCAGGCCTCGTCCCTGGGGATGTCCACAAAGGCCACTGCAGGGTCCTCTGTGGGGTCACCCTGTGTGGGGAGGGGTCGGTCACAGGCAGTGGGGGCGCAGACCAGGCTCCTCCAGGTCACCGTGGCGCTCGCCACCCTTGGCCCCGCAGGGACTAGCTCCAGACTGCAGGGGAGTTGGGGGTCAGCCCCACCCCCAGGTCGCCAGGACAGTGCCCACCCCACCTGGCTCACAGAGGCCGCAGGGACGGGGGTGGCCTGGAGCAGTCGACGGCAGTCGGGGGGCCACGTCTTTCCCTGGTGACACACGCACACCTGGAAGCGGGCGGGGCTGGACGAGAAGAAGGCCACCCGGAGGCGGCCCGGAGCGGGTGCGGGCTGGACGGTCATCTTCCAGGCTGTGGGGGGCAGGGGTGAGGCCCAGCACCCACCCACCACTGACCAACACCCTGTGTCTCGCCTCCCTGACCGAGAGGCGTTTACACAAAGGAAAGGGCCGTCTTGGCTACTGCCACAGTGCGAGGGCCCTTGACCAGCCTCCCGCCTGCACCCTGGACGGCCCGCCCCTGGAGGGCCCGCCCCTGGAGGCCCCGCCCCCGGAGCGCCCCCGTCCCGAGGGCCCCGCCCCCTGGAGCCGGGGAGGGGGAGGGCCCCGCCCCTCGGAGGCCCCCTTCCCCTGGAGGCCCGGTCCCAGGGAGGGCTCACCTGGGAAGCGCGGCTGCTTGAAAGGGCACCTCACTTGGAAACCCAGGCTCGTGGAGAACTGCCGGGATGGCGAGCGACAGGTGTGGCTATGTGCGCAGCGACAGGCGGGCCTCCTCCACGGCCCTCTAGGACTGGTCACAAACCCCCGCCCCCCACTGTTGGGCCAGGAAGGGTTAGAAGGGCTGCTAGGGGTCTGGACCCTGGGGCTGGGCAAGGCAAAGGGAGACATGTGGCCGTGGGTCCCTTGTCTGGCTGGGCACGAGGCAGGCTGTGGTCCGGCCCACTCACCTTCAGGCAGAGCTGGGGCTGCGTGTCCACGAGCGGGTACTGCACCTGAGGGGCGCTCACGTCAGGACCCTGGCCGTCCATCCCCGCCCCCATCCCTGCCTGGGGGACACTCACCTTGCCGCGGGCCGGCCGGCCTGAGTGCTTCAGCTCGAGGCAGTGGGCCCCTGGCCCTGGCCGCCAGCACAGACTCACTCGGCCTCTCATGGGGCAGGCGGGCTCCCAGCTCAGCACCTGGCTCCCCGGGTGGTAGTGGATGGCGTCCCAGAGGCTCTCCGTGTCTGCAGGGACCCTCCCCCAGGGCTGGAGTCAGCAGGACACTGTCCTAGCTGCTGACGAGCCACCGGCAGGCGTCTTCTCCGGTGGCTTCACGACCAGGCCCCACCCAGTGCCCTTGGGTGCCCTGTCGACGAGCCCCCCGCAGCCTCCGGGAGGCCCCCCGCCCCCCGCAGCCTTGGCTCTCCCAGGTGGCCAAGCCATGGCGCGCGTGTGCGCTTGTGCGCTGGCTGACATGGACGCTTGCATCCACGCAGGGCTTCCACCACCTGAAGGGCTTGCCCAGAACACAGCTCTGACTACTTACTGCCCGAAGCCGTCTCAGGCGCTGAGGCTGGGTCTGCCCGCTCCTCTCAGCCCACCTTGTGTCAGCCCCGCGCTCTGAACCAGGAGCCCCTACTCCTGGGGACCCCGGACTCGCCATCCCCCACCCCTCCCTCCTCGCTCTCCCCGGCACCGCAGGACCCTCACCATCTTTGAAGGGGCAGGTTTGGATTCGCACCGCGTCGGGGGTCGCCGACCAGACCTGCGGAAGGGGCTGGGATCAGCACAGGGTCAGCCCATCTTCTTGTCCACTCTCGGGTGTCAAGGCCGCGCCCTTACTGACCTCAAGGCACAGGCACGACAACTCTTGGCTGTAGGGCAGAGAGACCCTCCGGGAGATACTGTTCCCCGTTACCTGCATCCGAGGGAAGGCGCGTGGGCGCGGGGCGGGGGCTGTGGGCGGGGCTGGGTAGGTGGGTCCTGGTGGGCGGGGCTGGGGCTCACCAGCACTGGGGTGCCCGCGTCCTCGCAGGTGAACCGCTTCAGACAGAGCCGCGCGTAGTAGTCAGTGCCCCCAGACTCTGGCACCTGTACTAGAACGACCTTGCGGCTGCGGTCCACCCAGTAGGAGAGCTGCTCAGCTGTGGGAGGGCAGGAGGAGGGGTCACGCTGGGGCCAGAGGTCACCACGCACAGGGCTCCAGCTGTCCTGACAGCCTGCATGTGGTGACTCCTGCCAGACCCAGGCATCTTGGAAGTTGCCTGCCTGGGGACCCATCATGAGTTCCCATGTGAGGAGGGCAGAAGAGCCTGGTAGGAGGCCTGTGGGTGCCCACCACCACCCGAGGGTCTTCCCAGGGGCATCGGGGCTGGGGTCCCACCTGGGGAGGGACCTCACCGAAGCAGTCAGGCACATTCTTCCCCACGTCCTCATCTCTGCAGTCTGCGAATGACAAGGGCAGGGTTGGGCCCACTCTGCCCCCGGGGCCACCCTCCCTCTGCTGGTGTGATTTCCAGAAGCCCACCCCTCCAGGGAGACGGCAACCCAGAGCTAAGCAGATGCACTTGTTGGGACCTGTCCCGCCTGGCCTATCCACTGCCTGGGTGAGTCCTGCCCCAGGGAAGTCTCTGGAGGCTGGAGGGCAATGCTCATGCCAGCTCCCTGGTTCCTACCTTCCATGTGGTATTGCTGGCCCAGCTGGACCCCGCAGAAGTGGGGGACAGTCCTCAGGGTGACGTAGAGGGTCTGGGCCACGCCCACCTCGAAGCAGTCAAAGTGCACCTGGAGCTGGGCAGGGACGGGGTGAGCTGTGGACCTGGGCCTCTACCCCCGACCCCTGGCCAGGCCAGCTCCACATCGCACACCTGGGACCCAGAGTCTGGGGTAGAGGAGGGCAGCGAGAACCGCCAGGGGACAGCTGTGCTGTGGGCACAGGCTTGGGGCTGGACTGGCGGGCCCGGGGCAGACGCGGCCTCACCTGCTGCCCCACCTGCCGGCGGGAGGCCCTGGGAACCCGCACAGTCTGGCACTGCGTCTCCTGGGTGTCCAGGCTCGTGGAGCAGGCCTCCAGGCCCTGCAGACTCTCTGTGGAGAGAGGGCCCGCGGGCTGTCAGACCGAGACATCCCCTGTGAAGGCAGCGAGCGGATCTCCCAGCCTGCCCTCAGGTTGCCATGGGCAGAAAAGGAGCCCTGAGCCCCTCGCGCCCCAGGAGTGCCCCGTCGCAGTCACCGTGCAGTGTGAGGGAGGCGTTGACACGCAGGAGCAGGAAGCAGCTGTCGGGCGGGGAGCACTTCATGGCGGTGGAGAGCGCCAGGGCCCCCAACACGGGCCTGGGCATGGATGCTGGGGGTTGCCGGCAGAAGCTGTTGAAAATATTTTCTGTTGGGGGGAGAGGGAGGCTAAGTGCCAGGGTTGCTGGTGCCTGGGCTCTTCCCTGCAGGTGGCCAGGTGGGGAGGGGCTCTGGGGCTGCACAAATAGGGGTGGGGTCCTCCCTACTTGCCCCAGTGCCGTCAGAGAGCTAGGCCCTGGGCGAGTGACGGGCCCAGGTGGGCCTGCCTGCACCATGTGCAGAGCTGTGTGCTGGGCCCAGGAGCGGGGCCCCCACCTGGCCGGCAGAGGGGCAGAGGTGGCCCCGCCAGGCGTGCTGGCTGGCCCCATGGGTTCCAAGGATGAGTAGCAGCACAGGTCTGCAGGGGGCGCCCGGGCCTGAACCCGAACTCATTGCCACCCTGTCCGTGGTCAGGCGGCAGCACCGGCACAGATGGCTTGGCCCCAGTGGTCAGAGCCCTGGAAGCTGGGGCCGGACCGAGCGCCATGCAGGCAGCTGGGGTCTAGCTTTCAGGCTCTGGGGCTGAGCGGTATTTTCAGTCTTGGCTCTGCCTGATCTGCAGGCAGATGCTTCAAAGTCAGTGGGGTTAGTTCCACGGGCACCACCATGCCCCGGAGAGCCCTGCACCCCACGGAGGTGGCAGCCCAGGTTCCCTCTGGCACTCAGGACCTGGTGTTCCGGTCAGGTGACATGTCAGGCGGTGTGTGTGCTCAGTGGTGCCCAGGCCCCAGGCACACCCCAGGCAGCATGGCAGGAAGACCTGCCCTCAGGCTGATGGTCAAGGGGAAGCAAAGGACAAAGGTGCCAAGGCCCTTCCTGTGCTTCAGGGGGAGGGGGACACGGGGGACCAGGGTGACCGGTTGAATGCATGAGGGTGGGGGAAGGGCACAGGGCGCACCCAAGGCCGTCTCCCCCCGCGGCAAGAGGAGCCGGAGTGAGGGGTCCCCGCAGCCATGGTTGCTGGACTCCCAGACCTTGGAGACAGGGGCCAAGGCACTGCTGCTGAGACCCAGACAGAAGAGCTGGCCATCACTCAGCGGAGCCCCAACCTGACCAGATCAGACGTGACTCAAAGAGGCAGCAGAAACTGTGAGGTCTGAAACGTTCCTGGGAAAGAAACCAGAGCTGTGGACCCCGCTGAGGTCAAGGTGGAGTCACGGAGCTCAGCCTGGACAGCAGGCGAAGTGTGGCCTCAAGACCCTAGGTGTGAGGACATGCAGGACAGTGATGCCCACGGAGGGGCAACCCGGGAGCCTCCCGGAGCCCGCTGTTCTGCAGCGCTGTCAGGGATGGGGGAGCGGCGTTCAGGGCGCCTGGTGCCTCCCCGAGAGAAGAAGTGGGGCAGATCTGGACAGAGGCAAAAGGCCGGAAGTGGCCAGAGTTTGCAGGACGAGCACGGGAGGATCGCGATGCAGAGAGCCGGGGGGGTGTTTGGCAGAGCAGGGATGCGCGCGTGGACTGAGGAGCACAGGAGAAGAAGCCACAGGGGCTCTGGGGACAGAGTCCTGTCTGCCCGTGGGGCTGGGCTGTCCCTGCTCCCAGCCAGACTGCAGACCCTGGGCCTCACGGGGCCCTGGTGCAGCGGACGCAAGAGTCTTGCTTCCGTAAGAGAAATAACTAGCTGTGGTCACTGCTCTGATCTCGCCTAACAGATCTTGAAAGAAGGACCCCAGAAGGATTAACCTGTTTCCAAGTAACGACTGTATTCCAGAAAAGACTCAAGAATATTTGTGAGGATAAAAGTGTATATCTAGCGTGTGTGTGTGCTCAGTCACACAGATTCCGCCTCTTTGCGACCTTGTGGACTACAGGCAAGAACGCTGGAGTGGGGTGCCATTTCCTCCTCAAGCGGATCTTCCTGCCCAAGGGATTGAACCCACGTCTTTTGTATCTCCTGCATTGGCAGGCGGATCCTTTACCACTGAGCCATCTGTGAAGCCAGGTAAAAATCCCAATCTACCATATAATAAAAAATTACAAGTTATGCAGAGAATCAGGAAAACAACCTGAATGAGGAAAAAAATCTATTAATTAAAACTGACACTGGTGTTAGAATTAGTAGACAAGAATATTAAAGCAATTATTATAACTGTATTTCACACGCTCAAAAAGTTAATTAATGGTAGACATGAAAGATTTTTTTTTCAAAAAAAGTCCAACTTACAAGGATGAAAACTGCAATGTCTGAGATGAAAAATACATTAGCTAGATTAATAACAGATTAGCCATTGGAAAAAAAAAAGAGAGAACTTGACATAGCAATAGAAAACACCCAAAAGTAGGTGGAGAGGGATGATGGTGGAGGTGGTGATGGTGATGGTGATGGTGATGGTGATGGGATGATGATGTAATGATGGTGGAGGTAGTGATGGTGATGGTGATGGTGATGGTCATGGGGTGATGATGTAATGATGGTGGAGGTGGTGATGGTGATGGTGATCAGGTGATGATGTAATGATGAGGGTGGTGGTGATGGTGATGGGGTGATGATGTAATGATGAGGGTGGTGGTGATGGTGATGGGGTGATGATGTAATGCTCTGATGGTGGTGGTGATGGTGATGGGGTGATGATGTAATGATGATGGTGTGGTGATGGTGATGGGGTGATGATGTAATGCTCTGATGGTGGTGGTGATGGTGATGGGGTGATGATGTAATGATGAGGGTGGTGGTGATGGTGATGGGGTGATGATGTAATGATGAGGGTGGTGGTGATGGTGATGGGGTGATGATGTAATGCTCTGATGGTGGTGGTGATGGTGATGGGGTGATGATGTAATGATGATGGTGTGGTGATGGTGGAGATGGTGGTGACAATGGTAAGGAAATAGAACAGTGCTTCGGGGAGCTGAAAGACAACTTCAGGTGATCTAATGTATGTATAGTTAGAGTCCTGGAAGGAATGAGGGAGTGAAAAAACTCCTTAAAAAAGGATAGAAAATTTTCAAGCTTGGTGAGAACTATACACTCACAGATCCAAGAATCCCGAGGAATGATAAGAAATATGAAGAAATTACAGGCACAGCACAGTCTGTTTGTTCAAAGCCAGAGTAAAGAGAAAACTGTAAAGCTACCAGAGGGAAAGACATGTGAGGCACAGTGGAACCAAGGCAGGGGAGAGGCAGACTTCTTTTGGGGAGCCACGCGAGTAAGATGATGATAGGCAAAGACTCCCCAGGACTGAAAGGCAAAACCCACCGGCCTAGCATCCCACCCCCATCCAGGCCTGCGTGCCTGACTCTCAGCAAGCATGCTTCGAGCCCAGGGGGAATGCAGTCCTTCCGGCAAACAGAAGTCTGCTGGCAAAGAGCGGGCTCGAGCCCACAGCTCTCACAGAACGTAGAGTTTATCCCAAATGGACTGTCAGACTCAATGTAAAAGCTAAACTACCAAACTTCCAAAAAGAAACCTGTTTTTAAAAATCTCTATGACCTTAGGTAAGGCGAAATTTTCTTAGACACAACAGTGAAATTGTGACCCATAAGAGAAAAAATGGGTAAGTTGGATTTCATCAAGCTTTCGAACTTCTCTTTGAAAAACCCCAGTAAAGAATGAACAGACAAGTCAGAGACTGGGAGAAAGCATTTGCGAGTTGTGCGCCTGTTCAGGAGCTTCTGTGCAGAACCGGTAGGAGCTTTCCAAAGCCAGCGAGGAGGAGGCCGGCAACACGTCCGCCGGTCCTCCACGGGGAGGGGCGGGGCTGCAGGACCCCAGCGCCCCGATGACGGAGGTTTAGAGAACGATAAAGCCAGCGAGCAGCTGTTGGTGTTCAGTCACTAAGTCGTGTCCAACTCTCTGTGACCCCATGGACCGCGCATGCCAGGCTTCCCTGTCCTTCACTGTCTTCCTGAGTTTGCTGAAACTCATCTCCATTGAATCGGTGATGCCATCCAACCATCTCATCCTCTGTCGCCCCCTTCTCCTCCTGCCATCAGTCTTTCCCAGCATCAGGGTCTTTTCCAGTGAGTCGGCTCTTCACATCTGGTGGCCAAACTAAGCGGGTAGTTGCTCTGCCTTTTCCTATCCACGTGTGCTGGCAGCTCTTAATGGGGGTAAAATCCTCCCCGCTGGTGAGAGCTGTGAACAGTCGCCTGCCCCGCTGGCCTGGCCCCCACCGCACACCCAGCCCGCTGTTGCCCTGGGGCTGATAAACCCGAACTGTGGGGTCAGGTGGGCGATTCAGAGCGTCCTGGGGGGACAGTTCCCAAGGGCCATGACTGGAACTGGAGCAGAGGCTGCCTGCAGGAGGCTCCAGGGGCTCGTGGTCACGCCCGGGAGTGGGGGGTTAGTCTGGCAAGGTGGGGAGTGGGGGTGAGGAGCGCTGTGTCCCCAGGCCTGACGTTTCCTTGCTGAGAGGTGCATCCTCGGAGCCTGCATCCTCGGTGCAGCTTCAGAACCCTCTCTCATCTAGGTTGCCCCTTGTGTGTGTGGAAACGTCCTCCTCTGTGCAGAAAATGAGAAGGCGGCATCTTTTGACCTTTACTGGGAGAAATACAAGGACCTATTGCAGCCAATCAAGCAAAGGATCAGAGTCAGAAGGAAGAAAGGGTGGAGCCATAGGAGAGCATGGTGACCACGGGCGCCAAGAAGCTGACTCTTGTCCCCAGTTAAGATCACAACTCAGAGGGTGTGTAGAAGAAAGTGATGCGACGGACTTCCCTGCTGGTCGAGTGGTTAGGACACAGCACTTGAACTGCCTGGGCATGGATTCAGGCCTTAGCTGAGGAACTAAGACCCCACAGGCTGGGCAGAGCAACCTCACTGTGACTGTGTAGAAGGTGTTGTGAACCCCAAGTTCTTCATAAAGATTAAGGAGGAGTAAATACATGTGATCTCATTTGAAGGTTTAAAGCCATCACCCAGAGGCATACTAACAGAAGGCCTAACAGCTCGGCTGTATCTTAAAAAGGAGAAATATGAACTCAGAAGGAAGAAGTGGGTTACAAAGGGAACTGAGAACACAGGAACGGTAAAACACGGAGGTGAATTTAACTGTGCGTTGTCAGGGCAGGAGGAGAGAGAAGGGCTCCGTGCGTCTGAAAAGCCGT